TTAGACACATGCTAAGTTCTGAGAGATCTGTCTAGTACCTAATGGATAATGGAAATCTATTCTCACTGGAGGATCACTGTTCAGGCTCCAAACTGATACGCCAAGAGCTCGTTGTCCAAAAGCCAATTTGTGGAATGGCTAATTTGCTGAAAATATTTGTTTCATTCAGCTCTTAAAATTGACTGGTATTCATTTCACCTTTATAGCGGCACTTTATGTTCTTGTTGATCTGTTTTTACCTCTGATGCCTGCTGCAGCACCAGATGTAGACGTCAATGACTGAGGGGCAGAAGAATGTAGATATGGGAGCATATAGTATGGACATGGAGAATTCTTATAAATGCTAGTTTACATCAGTTTTCATTAATATCTTAATGTATCAATAAAGAATATATGTGTAGGAAATACTCCTATATCCTTGAGTCTGTAGTATTTGAACAGATTTTTCTTGTGACCCGCAATCGGTCTCCGCGCTCTCTCTCATTCTTTCCCTTTCTGTCTCTGCCACTACTGTTCAGAATTCCACTCTCATGTCATCCAAAGGAAGTGGTGAAAGGAATAAGTACATGTGGCTATTGCTCTTCTTGTCATCCACTTACCTCATTCCAGATCGATTCAGCTTTGTAGGGTATTTTCAGGCAAAGTCCGTATCCTTGACATCTCTCCCTCCCAGGCCTCTGCCTGCAGGATTCACACGGAGAAAGACAAGAACTTACAGCTGCGATATGAGGGCCAGGCTCTGCGTGCGCACTTCTCGCATAAGCAGCACTTGTGGGCACAGCAGACAGTAGCCAGATGACATTTTGCATTTATTATTTTTAAATAAATTTGAGTTCCAATAAGTTGGCACCTAAACCCAAGGGCTGAACGTTCAAGTTTACATGGAGAATTGGAGCTTAAGTCACATGTTATGTGTCAGTGGTATGTGACAAAGCACCTAAAAGTTCCATCTGGAATTCATGTCATTATTGATGCTGAATTGCTAGAGTCAGCATGAAGGAAAACGGTTTACACTGGCTTCGTGGGTATGTTGACTGGAAGTATCAGCCGGCTGAGTAAAGGAACCACCCCCAATACTTTATTTCAAGCATAAAGTGTGAGCTCCAGTTTTGGTCACATGGGTGTTTGAGTGTGTGTGTGTGCACACGCATACCTATGGAGGTGCATCCATGCAGCACTCAAGTGTAGTTTATTCAGAGCTGCTGCTGTGTTGTGCAGGACTCCCCGGGTGCAAACACAGACCCAGACAGAACCAGCTTGTCCACTCACTGAGCTCATGGTCAGGCCGGGGGTTATAATACTGTCAGGATTTTCCCTCCATCCCCTAATCCTTTGTTTCTTTGCAGTGCTGGCTTTTTAGTTCTCACTGCAGACTGACTTTTTCCACCTGATGAAACACATACTGCATGTGGCTCCAGAACTTGACATTTTACAGCCTCAGCCTTGAGAGAGGGATGCTTGCTCTAATCCTGGTTTCTGAGGGAGGGCATTCAGGCCGCCTGCTCTCACCGAGGCGCTGGGGTCCTGTGAGAACTGGCAGCTCGGAGGGCCCCTGGAGTGCATTTGGGGGAGAAGGAATTCATGTGGTTCCCTGAAGGAGAGGGTGGTGCCCACAGGTTCCCAGAAGACAAGGTGTCTGCTGGTGTTGTTCTTACACATTCCTGAGGATTTACCACGAATGAATGTCTGTTTTAAATCACTTGGCAGACTTAACTGTAATCTTAGATTTCTTTTTTTCTTCCGGCTTCTTGTCAACTACAGGCTTTAATTATAATTATCCTTCGGTAGGCATGTTCTAGCACTTCTTACTCATTTGTCAAATTGAACTTAACAAAATTACAAAGTCCAGGGAGAGACCCCATCTTGAAGACAACAGAAGGCTCACCTGTCAGCTCCCCTTCATTTTTGTAATCCAATCTTGGTGGCCCGGATTCCGTTCCGCTCCTCCTTGATCTCCCTGTGGAGTGGGAAACGGTAAGACCGCCTGCCCTTCGGTGAGTATTTGGGAGCACTGCACAGGGGGAAGAGTTAAGTCTTCGTCTCCATCTAGGTGAGTGGTCCTAACCACAAGGGCATTGCGCGTTGGCTTCCATACTTTGTGTTTTGCAATTTGAGTTTAGTTCTCAGCAGATAAATACTTGGGTATATTCTGAATCCATTAAAAGTAAAGTCCTGGTCATTCTATGTTTTGCAGCATGTCATTTCCCACACACTCTCCGTGTCTGTCTCCAGCCCTGTCTTCTGGAATTTAGGGTTAAATGAGTAGAATCTTGCAGTCCAGCTAGGCCCCCCAATGATTATTGTTTCCATGGAAACAGTGGAAGGCTTCGCAATTAAAACTGAACCTGCAGGCTGAGGAGAGTAAAAGTATGAAAATGAGTTTGAGAAGCCAAATTCTCATCCTCCAGATGAAACCCATAGAGGACAGGTGATCCCAGAGTCTGCTGCTAGCTGGGATCGGACTTTCTTGCCTTCGGGGCTGGAGTGTCTTTGGCGTTTCAGGCACAGGTGTGTTTGTCCGCTTGTTTGGTTTGCCAGGGTTGCCCAGATAACTGTCCTTGTGATTCCCAGAGCTCTGTGTGTGCAGCCGTGGGTCACAGAAGAGTGGGAACAATCTGATCTTTGCGAAGACTTGAGTGTGAATCACAAATTTAAAGCCTATTAAGCCCGGCGGGGCATGGCTCAGTGGTTGAGCATCAACCTAGGATCCAGGAGATCGTGGTTCGATTCCCAGTCAGGGTACTTGCCTGGGCTGCGGGCTCGATCCCTGGTCAGGGGCCTGCAGGAGGCAGCCGATCAGTGACGACTCTCTCATCATTGATGTTTCTATCTTTCTCTCCCTCTCCCTTCCTCTCTCTGGAATCAAAGATATATAAAAAAATAAAGCCCATTAAAAATGGATGAAATTATAGGATGGCCTTAAAGTTGGAAGGCACCTAGTCAGCAAGTGCCCGTGTCCCCTGCAGCGCGGGAGCCCATCCCGGAGCCACGCTGACGGGCAGCCTCTCTGACCATAGCTGGGGGCGTGCGGTATCAGAAAGGCCTCTTCCTCCTCGGCTGCCTCTCCTTTTTGGTGCCAAGTAAATTGAGTCCACTTCTCCCATAATGGACTTTTAAGACTGTTATCGTGTCCCCCAAAGATCTCTGTTCCCTGGCTCAGGAAGCCTGAAACCCGAAACCTGTGTCTAATGGCTTCTGACCGGAGAGGCTGATATATTTCCAACACTGGATCCTCACCCCTGCCGCTTAGACTTTATGTGCCTTTTCTTAGCATCCTTTGTGCAGATGAAGAACTGGTTACCCTGTTCATGTACCACGTGTACATTATTTGGAGTTCAGAGCTAGGAAATCTTAAGAACAAGATTGCATCAAACCATTGGTCTCTGCAGTCCGGTGAAGGGTGCGGTTGCCTTTTGTGATGTCACCCCAGAAGTTATGAATACACCCTACATTCCTAAGTGCTTTAATAATCTCTCAACCCTTCGTCTGTGATTTATTTAAACCCTTGGCCTTTTCCCTAAGGATTAAGTTGTACATTTTAAGACTTCTTAATTCCTCATTTGTTCTAGATTAATATCCTATTATTGTTCTTAAGGTCATGCTCCCCCTCTCCCAAAGAAATGAAAACCTAACAAACACCATACTCTTGTCCAAATGTTCCTACTACCTTAACCTGGGCTAAAAGTTCAGTTTCCCAAAGTCGGGTGCTGATCAGTGCTGACTGGGAAGGGCTTGGAAGCAGGTACATGGCTTCCTCTTGGTAGAAAAAGGAGTGAAACAGACATTCCTTTCTGGGTCCCAAAAAACTTATAGCTGTGTGACCTTCAGCAAGTCACCAAACCTTTCTAGGTTTCATTTTCCTCAAATATAAAATCAGGTGAATACTTTGTATTCTTCCAGGTTATTGGGAATGCTGTGAAAACAAATTATGTACTGTTAAGACTTTATAGTTAACTGTACTGTGACACTCTGTGGGTATTTTGAGAGTTCAAAAATAATTTAATAAGAAAATAAAATATTGATGATACTGGGTATTTAAGACTCACATACATCCAATTTCAAAATAACGGTAGCTGATCGCTATAGGGAGGAATAGTAAATTTGTACCTAGCATTTTAGAGGAAAAGAAAATGTCATAATTTCTAATACAGTTTTGGGTGATATTTGATGTGGTCCCATTGAGGGAGAAAGCCTTTCAGTAAAGAAACGGCATTGTTTGTGGAGAAATGAAATTACTCTGAGTTCCTGTGGTAGAATAAAAGGGTTGAAATCCAGGGAGTAACTGTTGATTTGTGTAAATCATTTAAATCCCAATTCTTAGCTTTGAGTATCTGAGCCTGACAGTCTCTCTGCTGTGAAGCTCAAGGGCAGATCCTGAGGTGCAGTTTTTCCCCCGAAAAACTTTTAGGGGCTTGTGGCTGGGCCTGGCCACTGTGTCAGCGTGAAGATTCCCTATTTCCTGAGAAATGCCAAGGGCTTGGAGCAGGCACTTGTCTGACATCTGCGTGTCCTGAGACTTCAGAATGACCCCTCTTCCTGAGTATTGGGAGGTGTTTTTCTTTTTCCCCCCCTTTAAAAAAAAATTGTATTTTTCAATTACAATTTACATTTAGTATTATTTTGTATTAGTTTCAGGTGTACGGGAGAGGTGTTTTTCTTACACACCTGTATTTTACTCCAAACCACTTATATTTGGGGACATAGAAAGCACAGGTAATTTCCTCAGCTTCTCCATGTCAGGTGTAACGATGGTTTCTTGGGGTCATTTCTTTGCTTTATGTAGTTTTACTTAGATTATGAACCTATCTAGATTTGGAAAGAAAGTAGTTTTCCGTTTTCTTTTGCTTTTTTTGTAGTAACTCTTGGGTATTAATCACACCAAATAATCACATGGCCTCTGCAGTTTTTCGAGGGGGGAAGAGACAGTTGCAATAATCTTCTGATGTTGGAGAACTAACCCTGCATCCGGTGCCCTGTTGTGTGTTCTTTTCTGCCCCCAGGGAGTTCTGTCCAACATCTCTTCCATCACCGATCTCGGCGGCTTTGACCCAGTTTGGCTCTTCCTTGTGGTGGGAGGAGTGATGTTCATTTTGGGATTTGCAGGGTGCATTGGAGCTCTACGGGAAAACACGTTCCTTCTCAAGTTTGTAAGTATCACACTCTGCTCTCAGGTCGAAAGCCAAATATATCCCCATCAGGGACACCCTCTCTGTAGGCCAGAGTGAGCTGTACCAAGAGGATTGGCAACAGTGTGGCCTGGGCAGCGCTTTTCTAGTTCCACCCCCTGCCCATTGCTTCCTTAATGATAAATGTACCATCCTGACCCCATGTTATCCATGGAGGTTTTGTACACGTATATCACGACTTTGTTCACGGGCCATACAAAATTATCAACTTAAAAATGAGCCTGCTCTATTTGGTCAAACATTTAATTAACTCACCTCTAATGTGATGGCTGGAACTGCTTCTCTTTGGTGAGGCCTTGGCAGAGTCAGACCAAATGATTTCGAGGGCCGCATACGGCCCACGGACGATACGTTCCCTGCCCCTGGTTTAGAGAAACCAGACGAAAGCACAGTGGCCATGGCCTGTCCAGATTAAATCTGTTAAGCAGTGGGTTTTGGTGAATATGGAGAAACAGTAAAAGGCAAAGTCTTCCTTTTTATGATCAGCATAATTTTAGGTCCCTTGCAGAATGTTTGGTGTGATCACTGTTAGCATGAACATATTTGGGAGGGGAGTTTTCCCAGGGGGTGGGGTAGGTATGAAGAGTGAAAGTGGAGAATGGCAAGCGGGAGGCTCTCCCTTGGAGATTCCTTCCAAAGGAGAAATGGCCTATGTGTACGTGTGCGTGTGAAATGGGCTCGTGAGTGTAGCCCAGAGGTGCCTGTCAGTCCGGGTGTCCCCATTCGGCGGCGGCCGTATCACTGCCTTCTATACAGCAGCATCTACTCCCCTTTCCAAAAACAGAAAAAGAATGGAAATAAAACCCCACCCTCCTGTGATGAGGGAAGATGGTGGGATTTCTAGAGGGCAGTATCAGCGTAATAATCACCTGTTTTTAGAATGATTCTCAACCTTTAGTGATGCAACATCGTTGAGGACCATTTTCATTTAAAACAAGAGCATAGACCAGAACCAGTCCCAGTGGCCACGCAGAATGTGATTCTCTCCCTACCTAGCATGCCTGCCATATCTCCCTCCGGTGTTTTTTCTTGAACATCCCTAAGAAAAGCAGACTCACCGCCCACTCACTGTCTATGCAGGGCCGGCCGCTTCCAATTTGGGCAGCCCTGGCCCAGGCAAGGTGCTGGAGGCTTTCACCTGAAGCTCACATGGCTCATGCCAGTAGGGAAAACCAAGGGATACTTGGTCCTATGTGCAATTTAATGAGCCGTTGGGTCTCTGTTCTGTATACATAGGTCTCTGGTAGGGGTAGCTAGCTTCCCAAATCTCCATTTGTTTTACACACACACACACACACACACTCAAACACACACACACACACACACTCACACACTCACACACTC